AAAAAATGAAAACTGAAGTAGTTATGGGTTAGAAATGTCTTTGTGGAGTTCCGTTATTTTACTCTTCCAGTCGCATGATGAACACACCTCCACCAGTGGGAGTGTCGCCTGAGATTGTAGAAGAGCTACAGATGAGTCACTGGGAGCAGGATTGCTACATTTTTAAGCCAATGTTCTTGTTTTATTTAAAAGGAAAAACATGAATACTATTATATATGCATATTATTTTGTTTTTCTTTCAGTATTTTATAATTACAACTAGAGCGGTCGCGCTTGAGCAGTGCAATATTCCCAGCTTCTAAACGTCGCTGCGGAGTGATACCTCGCACTTCTATTTGCTATCTTTGAAGCAGCGGTCAGTAGGCAGCTGCTCAGCCCGGAACTCAACCATTCTGCCGGGGGAGAACCCAGCAAAAATGTCTGAGAGTGGGAGCCAGGAAGCCGCCGGGGCCTCAGACAGCAACGACGGGCCGACCAAACAGACACCACCGAGACCGCCCGTCGGCAACAGGGTGACGGTTGTTCTCGGGGCTCAGTGGGGCGACGAGGGGAAAGGGAAAGTTGTGGATCTGCTGGCACAAGATGCCGACATGGTGTGCAGATGCCAGGTAGGTGAGCACCGGGAGCCTGAACGCACCTGTCCGCGCGGGTAAAACCGTTAGCTTAAAACAGCGCATCCTTTCCTCACTTTGGAGTGACGCTGCGTTCACGGCACCTTGTTTAATTAGCAAGGGGGTGGAAGGCAGCTTCCGACTTCACGCGTGGGAAGATAGTTTCTCCCGCTCAGTTTAACAAGGTGAACGCAGGAGTGCTGCTACACAGTCAGGTGTTTCTCAGAGCTAGCATCAAGCTAAGCACTAGAGGTTCGGGCACATTTCCTCCAGATTTGCAGATATTTCTTGAATGCAGCATTGTTTTAATAGGTTAACCAGTATCAGACATAGCTGCTCTGTTTGCTAAAGTCACCTTGGATTCCTGCTAGCTCCCTAGCTCTTTAAACACCTGTACAATGGCCTATGATATGATAGATACAGCAGCTAACAGGTCTCTTTACAGTTTATGTTTTATATAGTGCAACGAATGCTTTAAAGGGACGTTTTAAGTTGATTGATCTTGTTTTTGCAGTACCCTCCCTATGTAGCAGATCATAACACAGCTAAGCTATATTACCATTCAAATGTCAGTGTTTTAGTTGATGTTAATGATTGTGATATGTGATATGACAAATCTTCAAATAATTAGATATTTCTAGTATTGATGGAAGTAGTTCCTATAGGTCCAACATCCATTTGCAGCTGTTATCAGTACCAGAAAGGACTGAATGGTTTAATTTTGATTTCAAAGACTGGATAGAAATCACACGCTTGCTGAAAATTAGATGCACTTTTATTTAGAAAATCTCCACTTCCACTACTTCCCAAAGTTACATTTAGATCTGGAGGCCGTGTGCTGTGAAATCACTTCACATCCTGCTTTTTACAACATTATTACCGTCTGGATTAAATCTCAGATGGGCTGCTGTGTCACACAAACCTCTGTTGATATTAAAATGTGTCTAACTTTAATGAGAGAGTGTGGATAGAAGCCTTGAAACCAACAGGATTGGCTATTTCATTGTTAAAGGTGTTGAGGGTTCAGCACTGATATCCTGCATCCCTCAGTTACAGTGAATTATTACTTGAGTTAATGATGTTGCTAATTTGTAAAATGCATTTTTTTTGTATTCCGGTCTTCCATTAAATAAGAAAAAAAAAAAAAAGAATATGTGTGTCCATGTGAGAACTCTTGAAAACCACACTGCAGGGCTGGATGTAAACAGCTGTAGCTCCAGTGCTCATTGTCATGGACTAAGTGTAAAAAAAAAGTCCTTATAAATCCAAATATGCCTCGCCATCATCCTCAGCCATCTTGAGCACGTCTAGATCACAAAACTTGTTTCAGTTGCAGCTGTACGAAATCTAATAAATTCGGTGTGACTGAAAATCGACTTAGCAAATACATTTTTG